AGAGGGAGAGAGAGAGAGAGAGAGAGAGAAGGAGAGGGAGAGGGAGAGGGGGAGGGGGAGAGAGAGGGAGAGAGAGGGAGAGAGGAGAAATATCTAACCAAATAACGCTTGCTTCATTTATAAAATGTTGGGAATTAACTTAGTAAGGAGGAGAAAGACACCGTTAAACCCATATGTTCATTAATTTACGTTGCTAGAGAAAGGTGAGTTGAGGCATATCTTAATTAGCTATAAATACCAATTGCGGTTTAGAGAGGGCTGGGAAATAAAGCCTATTTCTTGAATTTAGAGTTCAGGAGTTTTTCTTAGCTCATAATTAACAAAGAGACCTATTACAGGTTTTCTTTTTCCCCTTCCTTCCTTCCTTCCTTCCTTCCTTCCTTCCTTCCTTCCTTCCTTCCTTCCTCTCTCTCTTTCTTACTTCCTTTCTCTTCCTTCTTTTCTTATTTTCTTTCTTTCTTTTTTCCTAAATAGCTGTTATCATAGAGAAGGCAGAAAACTTTGAGGTATAGCCATGCTTAAATAGGATACAAATACAATATTAAGTAATTCTGTTTATACAGAACAAAGGCAGCCCGCAGCTGGCTCACTATTGAGTACAGCTGGGCAGAATTTCCTTTTCAACAGTGCTCCTTACCAAGTACAACAGTGCTCCTTACCAAGTACAACAGTGCTCCTTACCAAGTACTGCTTCCTTTGAAGTTTCCTTCCCTTCCTCCTAAAGTGTTCAGTTCCTTTGCTCAGCCCAGCCTAGGGCCTGAGCTTCCTTCTGCACGTGCTGAGGTTTTCTAAGGAGGCTTCCTGCTGGCCCCTGTCCCCATCTTATCCTCAGATTTTCTTCCCTCCACTACCCAACTAGAGGGAAGGGGCCTGGAGGAGGGGGCATCCCCCCTGAACTACAACCACTCCAGGATGTTTCTCCTGTGAGCTTCTGCATTTCATCCCAACATTGCACAGTCATTTTAGAGAGTTTTTCACTCTCATTCTTTTTTTATCTGACTTTCCCTTTTCTTTTGTTTTTGACTTTTGACTTTTTTTTTTTAATCAGTCAGTGAATTGGGATTCATAAAACCAAGTCTAACACAAAAGTGCTTTCTATCAGGTTTGAGGTTTGCTGCTTTAGAGATGGCAGAAGTTGCCAGACTTTCAACTGAGGTTCCTTCCATGTCATGCTGGGGAGCTGAGGGAGTGTGCCTTTGGATTTCCAAAACCACACCCAAAAGAAAGACCAAGTGGGTGCAGGAGTGTTGTCTTTTTGTTATACTAAAGTACTAAGGTATATTCTCAAGACAGTTTCCTCTAGAATTTTCACTTTTCCAAGACACATAAATTGGATTTCCTTTCCACCTGATCTAAATCAGCATGGATCCTAGGTTGAAAGATTCTACTCCCACAGAAGCAGTTAATAAATTGTCCACATGCGACTGGTTGCCTTCAGCTTATGTTGGGTAGAGATAAATACCATCTTCTCTCTGTCAGCGGGCCAGACTGCCTTAGAACAAGTATAGCTTAGATCTTCAGGTGGAAACAGTGTGGATGCAAAATCAAATTCAGAAATGTAATTGTATTCTCATACCGCTCTAAGAGAAAGGTGGACAGAACTGTCTCTCACTGCCTCAAAGAGGAGCACAGTGCAGAGCTCAGGTAGAAGATCTGGCTGCCTATGTCAGAGGTCAAATCCCAACAGGTGTGCATCATTTTCTGTTGTCCTACTCTTCTCCCTCTTCTCCGCTGGCCTCTATCCCTCTATTTTCTTCCCTTCCTCCTCCTCTTCTTGCTCCCCTTCCTCTGGAATCTCTGAAGCATCTCCTCTTTGCTAATCCTGTCTGACTAGCTAGGATTGAAATGGAAAAAGAAGAAAAAGAACTATGTAAGCTCTACACTCATCACTTGGAAAAGATAAAATACAGACTTTCTCAAAACCCACTTAAGGCCCATGCCATGAGTTTTGGGATGGGGGTCTAGGTGCAAGTACACCACAAGTCACAAAACCTTCTCAGAAGATTCTAGTGTGAACCAGATTTAAAACACACTGTTCTAGTGTGAGCCAGATTTTAAACACCCTGGATACCGCTAGAGATCTAACTAGAGAAGGTGAAGATACAGAAGCATTTTCGATCTCTTCTCTCCAAGTAGAACTGGAGGTGATGGTGGTTGGAAGGTAAGAGAGAAGCCATAATTATGTGAGGTTCTTTACATTAAGCACTCCGTCTTAACATGGTGCTCACTTTCCTGCTAGGATAAATGCTTATAAGTAATTTAAGACCTTAGGAGTAAAATATACCTGGGGCTCTGAGAATATAGGTAAATACATAAAATAGCCTTAAAATAGTGCTCACAGCCTCAAGTTAAAAATCATAAGTATGATATACAACCAAAGAAAATACTAGTAGCATTTTTAATATTGAAAATAGTAAGATATTTAGTTTTCTAAGTCAGCTTGATGTATGAGAAATTTTAGAATATTCTTCCAGACTTCAAAGGTATGTGAATATGCAAACATACTTGCTCGTGTGTGTGTGTGTGTGTGTGTGTGTGTGTGTGTGTGTTATGGAATAAACCATAGAACCACATGCTAATACTTACTTTTGTTTATTCATACTTTCAAATATTTGTTGCATTTATCACTTTGACTCCTCCCTCCTGGATTCTTTTTTTTTTCCTAAAGCACTGAATAGTGATTGCATAAGTTAGTTAAGAAACCCCATTGCTACACTCTTTGGCACTCATGATACCCTTAATGGCATTAATGTAAGAGATGGAAATTTTGGATATGCTTCCTCAACTTCTTTCACAGTTCCCAGATTCCATCAGGCAATCTAAGTCCTGTCTTGAGGTTTCCACCTTTGGTCCTTGCTGGGGTCATTTGCTTTTCTCTTTCTCTTACTTTAATTAAACCCCACAGAGTCAGTTAAGGTTTATATAAACTTGCTCTGATAGTTTTCATTTGTTAAAGAGCTACAGAGAGCTAAACCTGGTATTTAGTATTTTATTTTGTTTTCCAAAGGAAGGTTGCACTGGACAAGAAACTCAATGCTCATTTTATATGCTGGTTTTACAGAGAAAAGGGGAAAATAGGCTGTATCAGTCCCCAACACTGTCCTGTTAGCCACCAGGACCCTTGCTGAGCCAACAGTGAGGCCCTGGGGTTCAGGGAGACCATTAGAAGCAAAAATATGTTTTCTAAGGTGCTTAATATGTGTGAACAACGAATGATGGTCAGTCATCCAAGTAACTATGGAACAGTCAGTGAAAGTCACGTGATTATTGTCAGGCTTACCCAGTCCATAGGCTGGAGCATCTGAGGTGCTGTGCTATGGGTTAAGATTGGCCACCGGAGAGCCAGGGGGAGGGACCAGTAGTGATTAGATCAACTGTGGAGTAGCTGCACTCACATTGTGTGTCCTTTGAGCAAACTTTGGGGCAGTTCGGTAAAAGGAGAGGAAACGATAAAGAACAGTTGGCCTAAAACTGACAATCATGTGACTTGGTCTGTGGTTTGAGCACCCAGCAGATGTGCAGTCACATCTGTTTTCAGAAGCGTCCCAGCTGTTTATACACGCTGTTGCTCTCTCTTAGGTTCTTCAGCTGGGATCAGACATCCTTCCTCAGTACAAACAAGAAGCGCCAAAGACGCCGCCACACATCATCTTACACTACTGTGCTTTTAAAACTACGTGGGATTGGGTGATTTTAATTCTTACCTTCTACACCGCTATCATGGTTCCTTACAATGTTTCTTTCAAAACAAAGCAGAACAATATCGCCTGGCTGGTGCTGGACAGTGTGGTGGACGTTATTTTTCTGGTTGACATCGTTTTAAACTTTCACACGACTTTTGTTGGGCCGGGTGGAGAGGTCATTTCTGACCCAAAGCTCATACGAATGAACTATCTGAAGACGTGGTTTGTGATTGATCTGCTGTCCTGTTTACCTTACGACATCATCAATGCCTTTGAAAATGTGGATGAGGTAAGTTTTTCGGGTTTGGAGTATTGGAGATCAGAGGTTTTGAAAACAGTAGAGTTATAAGGATTGCACGGATGATAAAATGTTTTTCAGTTTCCCTTTTGCAAGTTCTCACTCCCCCTACCCCCGACATTATTAAGCATGCGCCATAAATTACAGTTGATTTTCTTAAATTAACTTGTCCCCTTGTTTTCTTCATGATTTTTGGCTGAAAAGGTGAATTGCTAGGAAAATGGCTATAGTTGAAAGGTGTGATTGGAGGAAGACAGGAGGAAAAGGCAGGGAGAGGAGGAGCAGGGGTAAGGAAAGGTAGTGCAGGGGGAGGAGGGAGAGAAGCTTCATCGGAGAGGACAAAATAGTGGCACACTTGGAGTAAAATGTAGTTCACAAGCCAGGTGATGGGTTTAGAGCACAAAAATACAGGCGTTAGAGAGAGGACTGAAGGAGCTGAAGGGGTTTGCAGCCCCATGGGGAAAGCAACAATACCAACCAACCAGAGCTCACAGAGTCTAATCCACCAGCCTGGGAGCACATAGGGAGGGACTCATGGCTCCAGCTGTATACATAGTGGAGGATGGCCTAGTAGGACATAGTGGGAGAGGCAGTCCTTGGTCCTGTGAAGGCTGGATGCCCCAGTGTGGGGAATTTGAGGGTTGGGAGGTGAGAGTGGGTGGGGGCACACTGTCATAGAAACAGGAGGAGGAGGAATGGGAAAAAGGGATAACACCTGAAATGTAAATAAATAAAATATCCAATAAAAAATACATTTCTCTGAAAGTTAGCAGCTTTGAAAATCATGTCTTTACAAACCTTGTGACTTTTTTACTTAAGTCACACATGGTGGCTGTTTTAAGAGTTAACTTAAAGACCAACCCATTTTCATGAAGGAGCGGTTTTTGAACTGTTGCAATTTTGATTTCTGCTTTTGCTTTCAATTCATTATACATACAGTTATAGGTAGAAAGTGTATTTGATGACTTCTAATGTCTGGCCTCACTCAAGTTTCTGTTCTCTGGTGTTTGTGAAAATAGGAATATTTAAAATGTGTCCTGCCTTAAAGGACCCCTTTGTTCACAGCTTCTCTCTAAGTTAAGGGTGAATGACTACAAATTACTGCACCAAGCTGGGAGGATGCAGCTAATAATAAAACTTAGGTCAGGCAGGATAAAGGATCTGTTACTATAAAGTTTTAACCATGATAATGTTACCATGTTGTTTTCCCTAAAGACCCTACAGTGTCCCCATTCGATCACTCAGTTGGAAAGTTGCGCTATTGTACTATTGTGGTTCTGTGGGTGTTGGCAGTAGACTCAACCTTTTCTTTGTTGACTTTTCCATACATTTTCTTTCTCCATCAACTACATTGATATTTAAGCTTACTTTCCCCAAGTTAAATGTTGTGGTTTTTTATTTTGACAATATGCACCTAGCCATTAGTTTAGAATTATGGGAAATCAATGAATGATATCAGTTCTTCAATTTTAGATTCTACATATATCAAGCTATTAAAAGTATGTTTCTTTCTTCCAAACTTATCTTCTAGAGATAATTAGGAGGAACTAATTTTGAGAATGTCAATCATAGCATAAAAGACTCTAAGCAGTACTTCATTTCCCACATGGATTATTATATGAGTATATTATGGTTTACCTTACTTAGAACATAGGCATAAAATTTTTAATCAAACAATTGGTCATATGAGGATTTGAATGAAGTTGAACTTATGTAAGTAGGGAAGAATAGTGAGGTAGAACCCTGGGTATTGGAGGAGGTTTGGGAAGATGTTCAGCTAAGACTACAAAATTTCATTCATTCAGAAGAAGTGAACTCAAAAGATCGATTGTGCCACATGATGACATGATTAGAAATATACTCTATTTTTAAAAAGTGCTAAAGAGTGGATTGCTAAAATAGCGTGGGATGTCTAGTAGTCAGACTTGCATTACTATAACAAAATACCCAGACAGATTACTCATGAAGGCAGTATTCTGCTCATAGTTTTGAAGGTTCAAGAACAAGATTCTTATAAAAAAAATTGATGTGAGCATGCGGTGGCACATCTTACACCAGAAATATACAGAGAGGGGATAGGCAGGGCCCCACAAACCACTGTAAGACCACACTCCCAGATGGCTTGCAGGCTTTCCTTAGACCCTATCTCCTAAAAGTCTGTAGTTTAGCTCTGAGGAAGAATCCCCTTAATATGAGTCTCTGGGAGATGATCCCCATGCAAACCATAGCAGGGCATAAATGTACTCACCAAAACCATAATGTGGATCGAGGCAGTACATGTATCAATTAGCTATATTTAGTTATTCCATACTGTGTATGTACCTCAGAGCAATAGGCACACCTTAAGTGTGTATGTTTTGCCACTTGATAAGGAAGTCAAAAGTGTGACTCGATTCTAAGAAAAAAGCATAAGAAAATAGATTCCATAATAATGAAATGTGTCTATGATTATAAGCTTGATTGTGTCATAATATGCTGGCATAGAGCTATTTTAAAAGACACTTGACCTCATGCATCCGAAAGACAGTGCAGAGTAACCCACTCTGAGACACCATTTTCAGTTATAGTCCAGAAAGGTCAGAGCTGCATTAAAATAACACCAGGCTGCTGAGTGTGGAAGCTGAGGAGGTCTGCTTCTCACAGCTCTCTTCACTGCACAGTGTGCAGTCAACAGTGTCCCTGGCCAAGCTCTGACATGGAAAGCCAGTTGTTCCCATTGATTTCAAGCCCAGAATTCAGAGGTGTCACCTTGGTCTCTTGAAGCTGGTCAGTGTGGATTCGTACACCATGGAAAGCTACAAATGAGGAGATCAAGCCCCTTCCCTTTAACTCTGTTCAGCCAGTTGCTAAAATCAGACAACACACCACTAAGCACAGTTGTCTGAAGGTGGCTGGCTGTGTTATGGTCTGATGTACTGTCATGTTGAAGACACGTTTCCCAAAGGTGCTCTCAGCCTGTCACTAAGTGTGGAGGGAGGTCCATCATTAAAAGGGATTGTGGGACGATTTAGTTTTGTTGTTGTTTACTTTTCAGATCGTGCTTTAATTATAAAATTTCTCCTTTCCCTTTTCCCCTCCAAACCCTCACTTATTCCCTTCTTCACTTTCCATCATATTCATGGCTTTTCCTTTCGATCCATTGTGATTGTGCATGCATATATATGTAGTTGGATGGCTTTCATTCTGGCCTTCTCTCTTTCTGTGGTATATTTTGAACTCTCCTTTGCCAATTTTCCTGTTAATGTTTTGATTGATGCCAGATCTCTGTAGTGTCTAGAGGTTTCACCACAACTTCCTATCCTTCATCCTCTATATCCTCCAGTCATTTATTGTAGTCAAATTCTTGCACGATGACTCTGGCTTGGCACCTGTTCCTTCCAGGACCTGGACAAAGAAGTATGCAGTGAGGCATTGTCGCATATTGGTCAAGGGAGTAAAAACAGGGAAAGTCTCCATGAAGAACAGTAAGCAATACCTTATTTGAAAAAGAATAAGCTCTAAATGAAAGGATTTAAATTGCATAAGTGATATATTTATTTATTTATTTATTATAATTTATTTCCATGCTACTGAGGAACACAGTTGTCTACTTTTCCTCTGGCTATTCAGCTTTTGGCTTCATCTTTGCCTTCTCATCCTGGAATCTGAGATTTCAGACTCCTTTCCTACCTGCTCCATTGCTATCAACTTATTCTTATAAAGGTGGCTCATCCCTTTGGTTCAATAAACATTGCCAACATGTTAATGGCCAACAGACTCGCCGTCACTGAGGTGTCTAGCATCCTGTGGTTACCTTCTCTTCTCCATCCTTTCTGTCTCCCCTAAATGTTGGTCATTTTTATGTAGTTACTATCAGGTGTTTAATCCTCAAGTTTCCACTCCTTGATTAAATGTCTTCTCACTGTACTAATGCAAGAGATAATTATTCAACATCATGGACTTAAACAAATGTCTCTTCACCATCCTTCCCGTTCAAGAGTTTGGCTAGCTATTGAATTTTTTGCCGTGAGATAATTTTCTTTCAGGATTTAGAAGATACGATATGACTGTGCTCTACCTTTCAATAGTTTCAAGTAAGAAACTTGAAACCATTGTAGTTTCTGATCCTTTACACATGATTTGTTTTCTCTTTGTAGAGGCTTAATGTATCTCCTGCATCACAAGGTTTAGACATTGTCTGATAACGTGTCTTAGAATAGGGCCTCTTTCATATGTTTTCATAGATATTAATGGAATGGCCTTTTTTGATCTCAAAAATCATGAATTCTGCCGTGATAATTTCTTTTTATGATAAATCTCCCTTCTTTCTGTTTTTATTTGTTTTCTCCTTCTGGAGCACTTTTTGTTTAATGTGTTGAACAAGCCCTGTAATTTCCTGGTTTACTCTAAGCTGCTTTCCAAGCCATCATCTCGCTGCTGCAGTTTCTAGGGGATTGCTTTATCAGTATTGTTTAACTCTCTTTGACCATAACGCTGCCTTTTTGCTTGACACTAATGCAGCTAATTTGCTTCTGTATCACTCATGTGCACTTGGCATGTGCATTGCTATATTAATGTTCTGTAATTGTAGATTGTTACATTCAATGTATATTTTATAAAGACTAGATAGATGCGGAGAGTTGTCACACTGTGTAGCTTAATTTATTCATATTTACTGTGATTAAATGCATTCTGACTTATTTAGAGCATTGTATTTTTCATTTATCATACTTTTCTTCTCTTTTCTCTTTGTGCTGCCTCCTTGATACTTTATCCTCTACTGTATGGACTGAGGTTTCCCTCAACACATTGGACCCTTTCTTGTGGACTGAATATATATCTCTGCTAATTGATGTTTCTTGTATCTGCAACTGACTTAAATGCCAACAGTTTGTGAGACTCTCTTTACCTTTCTGCCAAATAACACAAGGACTTCTGTTCATCTTCTTTATAATTTTAAACATCTATTCATTTTGTTATTTTATGTGCATGAGTATTTTGCCTGCATATAC